TTGATTGTTGGGTGGTTGGTTTGTTTGTTTTGGATGTTGGGCTGTTGGAAGGGCTGCACTGGTTGATTGTGTGTTTGTGGATATATGGGTTGAAGAAAGTGCTGACTTACTGATTGTTTGTTTGTTGAGACGAGAGAGAGAGAATATAGTTGACTGATGATATATACGAGAGAGAGAGAGAGAGAGAGAGAGAGAGAGAGAGAGAGAGAGAGAGAGAGAGAGAGAGAGAGAGAGAGAGAGAGAGAGTTTTTGTGTGAATGTAAATGATGCTTCTGTATCGTTGTTCTGTGTAAATAAAAGGCATTGTAGAAAGAAAGCTATTTTGTTTCTTCAAATGTTTCAAAAAATTAAATACTACTCCCCCTTTTTTCCAAACAAAGATTTTCTTTTGGAAAGAAAACAATCATAATTGGCTTAATACAACCAAAGTTACCAGCTACGTTAATACCGTTTGTCAGACTGGGGCTACTCTTTAATGAACTGTTTATAACATTATTTACCACTATCATAAAACGGTGTTGAATGGGTAATCAAAATTACATTTCCAAGTTATGTGAAAGAGATCATCATGGCATGAGTCACGAAAAGTCATGAAATATACGGATAATGTTTTTCTTTTTTGGATGATTAACTCAAAAGTATGATGTGTCACATGGACTGATGTCGTTGCATGTTTGAGCAATGCTGTTCTCGTTAGAAATGTAATAGACGCTAAGTTGGTCTATGGTTTTGGCCATTTGTCAGGATAATGCGCCGAACGATAAGATACATTATGCAATTACAGATCTCCAGAACTTCTGCATGCTAGCCAGGCTCGTCAGAGTTGAAGCCCACCATGAAAAAGTTTACATTAAATTTGTAGTTGTTTACATAGTTTGACAAAACTACCCCCTCCCCACTACTTTTCCTCCCCTCAACCCCCCCCCCCCCTTCTGAAACTACAATAACAACGACTAAAAAACAAAAGGAAAAACAAAACATGTAATAAAAAATAGGTTGACGGGGAAGGGGGAAGGGGGAAGGGGGAAGGGGGAAGAGGGAAGGGATGAGGGGGTAAGGTGTATGCTGTCCTCTGTAAGGTGGAAATTATTCTTTTGGGCAATGGTGCAGGCAGCAATAGTTATGATGATATACAGTTTTCAAGCTGTTTGAGTCTTTTTTGTGTTTTCACAATGTTTCATCTCAGACGTGTCTATTTGCAGTATAAATGGGTAAACTTTGCATTCACATTGTTTACACAATCTAAATTAAGCTTTACAGGACGGGGAACCACACTCAATTAAAAACAACACTCACCCAAAACAAAGAAATAAACAAAAACACAGAAAAGACACGGGATCAGCAGATGAATTGGACGCTCATTGGAGAAACAAGCAGACCACAATTTCTTATAAGATTTCAACTTAAAAAAAATAAATTATTCTCAGGTATCTTTGCTCCATGTAATCATTGACAAGTTTCTGCTGCATCACTCAGATGTTTCATCGTCCTAAGGGTCCTATGCTGGCCAACAAATCGTCATACCTATAAGAACAAAAAAGAGAAAGAAAGGCAATTTCTCGTTAATAATCAGGCTAAAACTCCGTTTTACTTTTTCGATCACTTATTGACCCACTAATCTGTGTTAATGTCCTTACAACAATCAGCGACTTTGTGTTCAGAGTGCCTAAAATTTGAGTGTATTGCATTTTTGGAAGAGGAGGCTGAATATAAATGTGTCTACATTTACTAAAAGGTTATTGTCCTTATAAAGACTTACGCCTGTTGAAATATGTGGCAATTTAAGCAAATTCCCTTTCAACAAGAAAATGTCCGTAAAAGGAAATCAGACAAGGATCTTTTCTGTAAGGGTTCAAACTCTAATTTTATTTCTCCTCTAAACATTAATGTAGAAACCATTTCCAGTACGAAGCGAACAAACAAAATACACAGACACGGGTACAATACTATTTTACCCCACCAAAGACTGATTTTGCTTACGTCACGAAATTCAGTGACCACTTCTCCTCGTGTAGTTGATACGGATCATTATTATTATTATAATTTCATTACTTTCTGTTTTCAAAATGAGCCAACACAGAGACAAAGCAAGAGCACCCCAAAGCACTACAGTGAGTGACCACCC